ATCTTGTCCATGTTCAAGCCACAGAAAAGGCAGGTATGGTGTCAGCTTCCTCCAATCCTCTCTATCAGGAAAGCAGTTTTCAATGCAAACAGGCTGGGAAGGGAATATGTGGCTTTCCAGGCTCTAAAGTAGAAAGAGACAAGGGCCTGGCAAGATCTATAGAATAGCCCATCAGCTAGTTAATCCCCAGGCCATCTTTGATAGCCTTCACATGCAATGAGAAGCCTCACCTCCTCCCTCACTATAAGAAGCACAAAGACTAGGGTTCCTGAGTTATCAGGGGTTTCAAAGGGGCTGCATCTGTATGTCCTCCTACTCATTTTTTGTTCGTATCCATTTGAGTCCTCAGAGAAGTAGATGCCCAGGTGGAATTAAACATGTAAGAGATTTAGTAGGAGAAATGGCTATGAAGCCTAAAAGGGAAAGGAGCAGAAGCAGGTGGGTAGAGACTGCAGCCCATGATGTGGATCTGACTCCTGAGGGGCGGGGTGAAGGAAAGTACTGGTTGGGAAGATCTTCAAGGAGAGAAGGGGCAGGAGGGTAATGTGAGCTGTTTCCTGCTAGATGTCCCCAAAGAAAAATAGGCCCTTATCTGTGAACCATGTATCACTCACAAGTAAACACATATCTAAATGACAGAAATGGTGTGACATGAAATATGTGTTCTATGGATCAGAGCAAGAGCTCAGGAGTCCCAGCAGTATCTTGGATGCAGGCAGAATATCACAGGAAGAAGGGTCAGGACTATCATCTGCCAGGGTGAATTCCTACTGGAGGAATTCCGTGTCAATCAGAAGTCCTGGCACTGGTTCCCCACCCTTCTGAGTACTGGACAAGTGCATCCCAAGGAAATAGAACCTCAAAATGATCACTATGGATGAGCCAAAGGTGCACAGCATATTCTTGAGGCTCAAAGATGTTCCCATAACTTCTTCTATGCCTTTATTTGTCTTACATTTTATGACATCAAGAGTGCCCCAAAACTATCTAAAATCTCTCCCTTCTTCTGGAGCCTCTGGAATTTCTACAGAGAAGGGCTTTGGATGGCCACCTTATTACAAAGAGGTGGAGTGTTGCTTTGAAGCTGTACTTGCAATTGTGTAGCAGTTCTGGTGGCTGTCACTTATGTTGCATGGTCACATGGCTTGGGGTGATGCTAAAGTCATCCCCATTAGCCTTGTTGTAGATTCATTTGTGCCCCCCAAAAAGATATGTTTCTTTCCTGGTCCCTAATGTATAGAAATGTGACCTTTCTTAGAAATAGGATCTTTGCAGATGTAATCAGGTTATGAAGAGCTCATACTGGGTTAGCATAGCCCCCAATCCAATCACTGGTACTCAGAAGAGGAAATTTGTACACAGAAACACACAGGGAGCAAAGGTTAGAGCAATGGTTCCGAAAGGCAAGGAACATGAAGGATTCCAGAAGCCACTGAAATTTGGGAGTGTGGCAGGGAGCAGAATCTTCCCTGAGCCTCCAGAAGGAAACAATCTTGTCAATACCGTGATTTCAGACCTCCAGCTTCCAGAACTGTGAGGGAATAAATTTCCATCATTTTTAGCCATTATATTTGTGATGATTTGTCATGGCAGCTCCAGGAAACTGAAACATCCCTGGTATGCTGCAGTTTGTCCGGAACAACACCCATTACTGTTTAGCAGTATGCAAGGCCATCAGTTCAGATATGGTGGCTGGGATTGTCCTACCCTTACAAACTGAGGATGGAGGTCCCAGTGTCTGTCTTGCTTTGGGGGGTAGGGGAGGAGAATCCATCATGGCTGGGCATTATCAGGCCTCAATTTGACAGCTTCTCCTAGAAGCCTTCATGTATAGTGTAATATTATGGGGATCTCCTGGATTCAAGATCCAAATGCGCAGAATGAGGCAAGGTTTGGAGTGAGCTCAGGCTTGGGGTTTGGTGACCTGAGTATAAATTTATCTTTAGCTGATGGGTGACTTGAACAGTATATTAGTCTACACAGGTTGCCATGACAAAATGGCATACATAGTGTGGCTTAAACAACATATATTTATTTTCTCACAATTCTGGAGGCTAAAAGTCCAAGATCCGGGTCCTGGATGATTCAGTTTCTTCTGAGGGTCTCTGCTTGTCTCGCAAACATGTGCTTTCTTAAGGTGTCCTCATTGTTTTAATTAAGGGGTTTCTCCAGAGGAAAAAATCAATACAAAATACATGCACAATTAGACAAGGGTATTTACTAGATCAGCTTACAAGATCAGAGGCAGGAGAGTCCACAATGGCTGTCTGTGTGCTGGAGAGGCAGAGGATTTAGCAGCTGCTCAGCCCAAGAAGAGGGAAGCTGCAGAACAAGAGGGGCCAAGGTTACAGCACCAGTCCAGGTCAAAGGCCTGGGAGTTTACTGGAGAGCTGCTGGTGTGAGTCTGTGTTAGAAGGTTGAAAAAACCGGAGGCCTGGAGAACTTCCCAAAAGCAATGGCAGCACATGGTGCACCCACTCTGGAAGACTGGGGCTCTTCAAAAATGGGCACACTTCCTCCTTTCTTGTTTTATTCCATCCAGGCTACAAGCCAGTTTGTTGGTGCCACCCACAACTATGCTGAGTCTTCACCCCCCAGTTGGCAGACCTGTCAATCATCCACAGACATGCCCAGAATTGTGTTTTATTAATCTTCAAGGCATTTAAATCTATTCAAGTTGTCATATCATGGTTCACAGCCACATTCCTTCCTTTCTCCTAGGAGCCAACCCTACAAGATTAGCGTCCTCATTAATATGACGACCTCACTTAATATTATCACATCCTCATAGGCCCTTTCTCCAAATACAGCTACAGTAGGGTTCAGTCTTCAACATATGAACTGGGAATGGAGAGTGGAATATACAAAACTTCAGTCCATAACAGAGAACAGCATAACCTCTCTGAGTCTTAGCTTTACTTACTTAAAATAAGCATAACAATACTTCCTTAAAGAGTTCTAGGAAGGATTCTCTGAAGTGCCTGGTTTGTTGTATATGCCAATACATAGATAGTTTTACCATTATGGATACTATTTTTTAAATGATAATGATAATTGAGGTGTCATTCAGGAGGCCTCCTGCCTTTTTTGAATACTTCTAGCTCTGACTTATTTCAATTCACTTTTTTTCTAAAAGTTCCATCCTTGTCTCCAATTTCTGAACTTCCCAATTGGAAAATAAAGAGAGACTATGGATAAAACAGAATAAACAAGAAAGTATTAATGAAGAGATTGAGAGCAAGCAAAGAATAAATTTTCAGTATTATGTAAATGTGATTTCAAAGAAATTGAATTATTTTATTCTAAATTTCATGTGGAAGCAGTGTGACAGTGTCAGACCTTGGGCTTCTGGATACCATACCTATCCTCTATGGTCTGCAGTAGGCTCTTACGCCCTCATTCCTCAATGTACCCCCACTGGCAGGGAGAACAGCAGGTGGAGAGGACATTTGGTGGAAGAAGAAGTGCAAAGTGAAGTTACAAAGCACAGGCCAGTATGACTGAACCAGAGAGGGAGAAGGGTAATGTTTCAAGACAACCGTGATGTAACTGGGCATTTTTAAGGATCCCGTGGAACTTCGGAAGCCACATGGAGAAAGTTTAAATGTCAGAACTGGGCAGTATGCAGAGGTGACAAATCTCCAGCCCCAGAACTCGCTGAGGCTCTGGATGCACAAGGACAGCAACATAATTTTCTGTGATCGAGAGCACACACGAAGCACAAAGACAAACCCCAGGACAGGCACACGGCAGAAGAGAGGAGAAGGCAGTGAGCACAACCGAGGTGTGTTCTGTGCCCAGGATACCTGGTGCCTCATTCTGACACCCTCCCCAACACCCTGCCAGGAAGATTTTACTCTTCACATTTCACAGGTGAGCAAACTGAAGCATAGAAGCATTTGACCACGTGGTAGAGTGACCATGACCGTGCCGTCCTTTTAATGGAGTACTGAATCTCTGCTCTTAACCACAGTGCTAGATAAACACTTTCTCAAGGGTTGCATGACTGCAAGGGAATGGTACCAATCTTACAGCCAAAGTGTAGGCCTGTGTGACTGCAGAGAAGAATTAGGGCTAACACATCATCCACACCCATTACACGCAAGTCCCCATGCTAGGTATGAGTCACCTCGGGTAATCCAAACCAAGATGCTGTCATGGAGGCATTGTTCATAGTATTGCTCCACTTTAACAGGTGAAGAGTGATTTGGAGAGGTCAAGATCCTCGCCTGGGGTTACACCACTGATAGGCATGGATTTGAGCCAGTGCTATATACTCTGAAGAGGATGAGGAAGGCAAAGTGTGTAAGTAACACACTTGAGGGTCTCAAACTGCTCTCTTATTACTTGTGCCTCAATGCCAAAGAGCATTGTAGCAATGAAGGGCTGTGTCATTCTTGTGTCTTTATCTCTTTCCATATCCAATTTATCAAAACTCCCCATTGACTCTTCTTACAAAGTATAAGAGAATTCAGCCACTTCTTACCACTTCCAGTGTGCACACTCTGGCCCCCACCCCTTTTGTCTGTCACCTGATCATCACGTGACCTCCCTAGTGGTCCATCTGCTTCTATCCTTGCCCCACTCCCCTAACACAATAGTGACCAGAATGGTCCTGGTGAGACATAATCAGTTTCTATCACTCATTTGCTCAAAACTCACCTCAGTCAGGATAAATCCCAAGTCCCTCACAGTGACCCACAGAGTCCTAGTTGATCTGACTACAGCCAACTGCTCCAGTTCCTCTCTAAGCTCATCCTCCACTGCATTCCCTTGGCACCTAAGCATGTGCCTGTCTCACAGCCTTTGAGCATCCCCTTCCCTGGAATGTCTCTCTCTAATACTTGCAGGTTTTGCTTTCTTGTCTCTTTAAGGCTCTACTTGACTGTTTTCAGAAAGCCCTTCCCTCACACACTATTGAAATAAACTGCACCACCACTCTACCTCCCCTGTTCTGTTTTTACCCTCCCCCCCCAATTCCTGACATAGTACATACTTACCTCTGTTTTTCAGTTGTCTATTTCCCCACACTGCAGAGTAAGTGCCATGAGGGAATCAAAGGAGGTAGCTTTGTTTGGTCCCTTGTTCTGTCTGCAATGCCTAGGACAATACCTAGAGGGCCACCTGTGGCATGAGGAAGAGAATAGAAAATCTCTCAGCAGTGGACCTACTGTGTGCCAACACAGCAATTGTGAGGGCAGCTATGACTCAGACCCGCATGATCCAGTTCCTTGCTTTTCTATTTGCTAGCTGAGTGACCTGGGAAAGTTACCTGCCTGCTCCAAGCCTCTGACTTCATCCATGAAGCTAATGAGAGCACCTACCCCACAGGGCATCCTGAGTATGAGATGCACGAGGCTTCCTAAGTAGCTGACGCCTGGTGATTGGCAGTATTTACTCATTCAGATTCTCACCACATGACCTTCCTGAGTTGGGAAAAGTGCCTGCTTCCTAAAGCACAAGCAAGACTTCCAAACTGTTTTTATGGAAATGAGGTAATGACGTGCGGAGAATTCCTCCAGATAGAAAAATCCAGAAGCTGACCTAGATGACTGGCCCTCCCTGATGGTATTTGACCTTTCATATCTAAGCTTTGAAATGATGCTATATGCGGATCCTGCACCTAGTCAGATGGTCACCCACCAGCTCTTCTATTTATCCCTGATTCCAGGCTTCAGTGACCTGGAGCAATTCTGGAAACTGTTTGCCCTGATAAGAAAAGGATCAGTGCTTACAACAGGTAAACAGTATTCAGGCCTGACTGGCCGGGGGAGAGAGCAGCTATGTGCAATTTTGTTGGAACTCAGCCAATTGGTCGGAAAAAAATCGGGGCAAATGTTTCTGTAAGTTCTTGGGTATTTGCATGGATTCATTTACTTCTCATGTGGATCCCGGAGGTCAGCTCATACATTTAGGCCAAGAAGCCCAAGCTTGCATTTGTCACTTTGATAAAGGACATATTTTACCTATTCTGCTTCTGCTTTATTCATTCATTAAATCACTATTATCTGAGCAAAAGGGCAAATTTCAGAACATTTCATACTCTATAATCCAACTTACATAAATTACATAGTGGTGTGTTTCTTTAAGCAGTAGAGGGATATGGGAAAATGGTCTTTAAAATATTGAATGTGATTAACTAATTACTTAGAGCTGATGGGAATTTGGATGAGTTAAGGTTCTTGTTGCCTTCTTATTCTTTCCTCTATGACTTGAAGCTTCTAAAATTTCTACAAATCATCTATAGAATAGAAAAAAAAGTTATGTTCATCTCCAAGAGAAAACATTTTCCTCATCCTCACGAACACAGTCAGGTAGTGGCCAGGCTGGCATGCTTGTTCTCCCACACTTGTGGCAGGGCTCATGTCTGTACCTAGTGGTCATCACTGTAGGAAGCTAGCTGGGAAGTTTGTGATAGGTTATTGGACCATCTAACAGATGGAAGTGGAAGTTATGTGAACACTGTCCTTGCCACCTCCAAGCCTTTAGCTGATATGCAGGTGGACTGTGCCTATGCTCACCTTTCACTTCTGCCTGAATTGATGGAAAGCAGCTTTCTGTGGGGCCAAGTTCTGGGAACCTATTAATTATTAGTGTTCCAATGCCCTTGGTATGGAAAGAAATGGGCAGAAGAGAGGTTCCAGGAATCCTGATCCTCAGAATTCAGAAGCCTTAAGCTTCCTCCATGGATAAGGACACAGGCAGGCGATCTTCCCTCAGCCTTCCCTTTATTAACTAATACATGTAAAGCATCTGCTGCAGGGAGAGAGTGGGCCAAGTCCTAGGTATGATAGTGGAGGGAACATTCCTCCTTTAGTGGAGCCCACAGTTGAGTAGGGAAGACAGGAAGCAGAGTATAACAAACCCTTGGGGAAGTAATCTTAGATTATGCTGAATCAAATACGAGGCAGATGCTGGAAGAGTCTAAAGCAGGGCTTAGTGCGTTATTAGTGAAGAATGAATTTTACATTGTTAAAGGATGGTAACCATACACAATTATGTGCAACAGAAGTCTTAGGTATTCCACGAAGCCTGAAATACTGTTTGACCCTTAACAAAAATTTACTTATCCCTAGAAGGGTAGAGAAGGAAACAAAGAAATGAATACATAGTCAGGATACAACATTGAAGCTCAAACCTGAAGAAGCAGGAGCAAGACATGGGACTAACTTAACCTTCATGGTCTAGGAATAGAGCCCTACGGTAGAAAGGCCAGTGTTGCTGGGGAATAATAGTGGAGGGGAAGGTGGTACATTATACAAGATGCTAAAGAAGTAGAGAGGGCCAGAAGGTACACTCTTGGTTGAGTAGTAATGGGGAGAAATGAATTCTGAACTCTGAAAATGCCTGTCTATCTATCCATTTAAATGTTGTACCCTCAGACAGATAAAAATATATACATAGATACATAGATAAATAGAAAATGATGGATAGATAGGTAGATAGATAGGTAGACTGATTTGATACTCTGATTTGATTTGTTTGTTTTCAGTGATAGGGATTAAACCCCAAGGGCTTACAGATGCTAAGCAAGTGCTCTACCCCTGAGCTACCCCCAGCCCTTTTTAATTCTTTGAAACATGGTCTCACTAAGTTGTCCAGGCTGGCCTCATTTACATTTAATTTTAAATAAGTATAGACTCACAGGAAGTCTATAATGGTGCATAGAGTCCAGTGAACCCTTCACTCTGCCTCCCCAGTGGTGACATCGTATGTCTTACATAACCAAGATATTGACATTAGCACTACTGCCACTATAAGCAGAGTACAGAATTTGAGTTTATCTACATTTGTAATCTGTTATGGCATAGGCCTAAAATGTTCCCTAAACATCTCCTGTTCAAAGGTGGGGCTTTGGAAGGTGATTGGATCTAGGGGGCTCTGCATTGATTAGTGATTGATCTACTGATAAGTCCCTAGATGAATGTGCTATTACCAGGTGAGGCCTGGTTGGAAGAGATGGGTCTCTGTGGGTGTGACCTGGAAGGATGTATTCTTGTCCCTGCTTCCTCTTGTCTCACTCTCTCTCTACTTCCTGGCTGCCATGAGGTGAGCAGCTTTCCTCTCCAACACCCTCCCACCATGCCATTTCTGCCTTGGAGCCAGTCAACCGAGAACTGAATCCCCCAAAACTGTGAGTCCAATTAAACCTCTCCTCCTTTGAATTGTGAGTATTGGGTATTTTGTTCCAGCAACAGGAAAACTGACTCACACATAGATGCTCTGGCTGCTCCATGGAGAACAGATTAGAGGTTGGCCTGTGGGAACTCTGAGAAGAGGGTTTAGCAGGCTACTGCCATCATTCTAGCAAGAAGAAAATGAATATGGACAGATGTGAATTTTTTGCACATTTCTTTGTCAACTGTACTTCAGTATCTGGCCTCCTTATGAGTACGTTGCAGAAATGAGCAGCAGTCTCCTTCTCCTCCTTCCTCAGTGAAGAGGGAAGAGGGATGAGTGACTTGGGGAACCAGGCCCAGAGTGAAGCAGCACAGGTCCTGGGGCCCAGTCCAGGCATGTGGTTCCTAACTCAGCCATCTGTTATCCCACTTCACTCTTCCCTTGGCTTTTTAAAATCTGCTTCATGACCTTGATATATGTCACTTATCCTCATATCTCAGTTTCCTCATTTGTAGAATGGGATGATGATAATTATAATACTTCTATGGATGGGTTGCCAGGGAAATAAATAGATACACATAAAACACAATGAGAGATGCCCAAATCTTCTTGTTGTTTTTGCCCTGTAGAGGGGGTGTGGCTCTGTGATCATTGGTCCAAGAACAGAAGGAGAGAAGATAATCTTATTCCCTCTCCTAAGGGCCTGATCATGTCTTGAATGTAGATTCCAGGTCTCACTTCTACATAACTGACTGAGGAGATCCGAGGTGAATCCTAAGTAATCTGAATTTTGTTAAGTTCTCAAATAATTGTGATAGCCAGCAAGGTTTGGGAACCACTCAAAAATGCATGTAAGGCACCCTGAAAAATATCTGGTCCATTGTAAGAACTCAACTAATGTTAGCAATTTTATGATTTAACCAAATAGCCTTGGAGTACATTAGGACACAACAGAGTGGCTAAGAGAACAGATTCCTGAGCCAGGCTGCCTGAATACAAATCCTGGCATGAATACCTGCATTGTCTTGGAAAGCATTCTTAACCTCTCTGAGCCTCATTTGCATCCTTTTTATTATGGAGATAATAACAGCACCTACCTCAACAAGTTGTGATATAGTGTAAATGAATTAACACATGTGAAATGCATAGAACAGTAACCAGAAACTGGCGCATGTATGTTCTGTATTCGTTGTATCAATCTTTTCTATGATATGTGTTTGGAGCTGCCAGAATTAGACTCAAGATTCAGAAAAGTTGTGATAACATAAGCTTTTCAATCACTCACGATTTAGGGCTCTGTGTACAACCTCCAAGAATTTATGAGAAGCCAGAGAAATGTGATTGTTTTTCCATTTCTTCAGAGTAAGTCATATAAGAAAGTCCTATGGAGTCTCTGGAAGATCAAACCAGCTGTTAAGATTGTGAAGCTAGATAAAGAAAAAACATCACAGAAAATGCTGAATGTAACAAGGTTGGAACAAAAATGTGGTTTGTTTTTTCATCATAGCTGCAACAAGAACTAATCAGCTTGACACCAAGTAGCTTTGTTCTTTACCAAATCACAGTAGTTTAGCACAGTCCAGACAAGGGAGCTGCCAAGACCAAATGAGTGTGTGCATACACAGACACACACACACACACACACACACACCTCACACACACACTCACCCTCCTCAGTTCAAATCTAGTGAATGAACCCAAGCAGATTTCCAGAAAAAAATAATCGGGCATCTGAGTTGGCATGAATTCACCTAAGAAACATTGGGAAATACTAGCATTAAAATTAGGCACTGCACAGCAAGCAGGTCTACAAAGTACGAAGTGTGGGACATTTGAAATTGGGGCCCAAACAATCACACCTGAAATGCCCTCCCTGTTGTTTGGACATAATTGAGATCTTAAAGACCTGGAGGAGAATTCCTGCACTGCCCTTCCCAGCTCTGTGACCTTGGGCAGTCATTGAGCCCGAGATTCTAAATGTGCGCAATGGGGCCGGGGATTTAGCTCAGTGGTTCCCCTGCCTGCCTCGAAAGCGCAAGGTCCCGAGTTCGATCTCCAGTACCAAAAAAAAAAAAAAAAAAGAATCCAATATAAATGTGCACAATGATCTTACCTCCGAGCACTCAGAAGAGATGACATGGGGCACACAGTTTCTTGGAGCAATGCCCTGCATATGGCCACGTGTTCCACATTGGCTGGTGATGACTTATGCATTATAACTTGCTCCCTTCTACCCTTACCTCAGGTTGGACCTGAACTGCTGGATTCCACGGACAACTTCAACTTCCTCTTGGTGATGCCTCTGCATCACTCAGATGGTTGTGCTGCCTGAATACCATTCAGCCCATGAAACCTTTGTGGAAGCTCCATTTGCCTCCGAGCGAGCGACACAGCTGTGTGTGGCCATGAGCCTTTCCTCTAAAGTGTGAATGGCTCAGTTAGAAAGGTTTCCCTCTTCAGATTAAGCATTGTCCTCTGCCATGCACTCACTCCCAGGAGGCCAAGAATTCCCTTCCTCGTTGCAAGTACCCTTATTAGACACCTTTGCTGCAATGAAGAGTGGGAGAGCTGCAGACAATAGGCTTGGGATCTTTTTCTGTAGCTGCTATGACAAATTACTACAAGCTGGGCAGCTAGAAACTATAGAAATGCACTCATTCACAGTGTAAGAAGCTAGAAGTCTGCACTCACTCTCACTGGGCTGAGTGGAGCCATGGTTCCTACAGAGGCTCCATAGAAGAATCCTTCTTACCTCCGTCCTCTTCCAGCTTCTGGGGGTTGCTGGTGCTCTGTGGCCTGTGACTGCATCACTGTAATTTTCAGTGTCAATGTCCTCAAATCTCTCTCTGCCTCAGTGGTCACGTTGTCTCCTCCTCTCCTGCATGACTGTGGTATCTTCCCTCTGCTTCTCTCTGTCGAGGACATGCATGACTATATTCAGGGCCCACCTGGGTAATTCAGGAATCCCTTATCACAGGATCCTTAATTTAATGACACCCGAATACACTGTTTTCCCAAATAAGATCACAGGTATAGATTCCACGGATCAGGTATCTTTGGATCCATCCTGCAATCCAGTGCAACGCAGGTGAGGTGGGAAGAGTCAGATCTGTTAAATACTTGCTCTGGCCTAAATCCTTTTTTTCAAAAATGACTTTGTCCACTAAATATCAGAATTCTTATCATATTGATGGTGTTAGCATTTAAAAGAAAAATCAATAAAAACAAGCTTATTATTTTTTTCGCAATAAAGGAAATGGTAACTGACCAGCCTGACACAAGCAGCTGCTGTTTTCCTGCCCTCATCACCTGCATCCTTCTCCTGCTTCTTGCTAGCACTGTCTCATCTGTTCCACCTTAGCACATAGCCAGTGTCCAGGGGGTTCCTGTCTGCACCCTAGGCTGTGTGGTGATTGTCAGGTAAAAGTGCCAAAGACCAAGACCAGACCAGGCCACAGCAAGCCTTTATTAGGGGAATAGATCTGCCGGGCTGTCTCTGAACAAAGGAGAGCCAAAAGCAATATAGCTGGGGCAGGGAGAGTCATTTATAGAGACTGGGGTGGGGTTTGTAGGGGCTGAGCTGGGGTTGAGTGAGGCAGTGACTAGGGAATGGAGGAGCCGGTGATGTCACTAGGTGGTAGGAGGTGAGCGAGTATTAGGTTACTTTCTAGGTGGGAACAGGGGCATGCTGGGAAGAAGGGTTTATTCTTTGGTGGGAGCAGCCGTCTTGGCGTGATGTCACACAGGGGAGGGGGCTAGGCACCATAGGAAGAGGGCAGCTACTGTACATAATAGCTGCTGAGGTAGTGGGAGACCTATCAGTGATCCTTCCTCAGGGTCCTGACTTGCTCACTTTCTGATTGCTGACTTTCTGACTGTTCCAAGATACCACATTTCCTCTAAGGTCGAGCACCCCATCTTCCTGCATTTGTGTCCCCTACTACATGTCGGCTCAGAAAGTCATGGGCAGGGACAGGGAAGACTCAGGGTGCAATGGAAACCACCAAGGGCAAAGAGTTTCTAGTGGGGGAGCCAATCCAACGGGAAAACAGACACAAGGTATTCAGGGAAGCCACTTGGTCTCCACATGGAGTCAGGGATTTGGGGAGTTGACCAAGCAAGAACAGCAGTAGCGAATGAGTGGGATTTTAGAGGCAGTCAGTAGCCAGATTCTCACAGCCAGGTGCTGGGAGGCCTGAGAAGACGGCAAAGGTGCTCACTGCTCCTTCTGGGGACTGCTGCTCTGGAACAGAGCCCACCCTGTCTCCCTTGGGGCGGCAGCCAGTAGTTTATGGAAGTTCCTGATTCATTCCCTTAACTGGTCTTCGTGCAACTGTGAAGAGGCAGGTGGGGAGCCCATCCTACAGATGAGAAAGAGGTGCTTGGGCTTTGGAGTAGATACACACTTTATCACGCAAAAGAGTAGCTCCACAACCATAAAGTAATTTCTTTAAATATCGGCTTATCTGCCTTCTCTGCTTGTCCTGTTACTGTCTCTGTGAGATGGACCAGGAGAGGCGTCTTTGCTGAATGAGGAGGAAGCTGAGGCACGGGCAGGGTAAGTGACTTGCCAAAAATCAAGTGGCAAAACTGGAGCCGTAGTAGTGGTGGTGCTGGCAGTGGTAGCAGTGGTGATGATGATGGCTAGCAGCTACTACCAATTGCCAAAATCATCAACCAGCACTTTAGGAGCGTTCTCTCATTTAATCTCTCATCCACCACAGGACTGGGTATCGTGCTTTGACATTATGGACTTAGAGATAAACCAATGCTCAGAATCCAAGTCCCAAACCACATCGTCACCAGAGCATCCTGCCAGCCCTGGAGGTAACCAGGCCCATGATTCCTGCCCCCATACTCTGCCTACCCAAGAATCTCACTGGGACATGCCCAGGTTTTATTTCCCCGTCCCCTTTGACAAAAATGCCTTTTCCATTCCACCCCTCTTTGTACCAGGGGACTCTGATGTCCAGTTCTGCAATTTGGGCTCCACTCTGTTCTCAGGCTTGGTGACTGAACCTAGGAGACCCTGGTCTCAGTAGCTGCAAGATGGTGAAAGACTTGGACGACAGGTGTTGCAGCCTGAGAGACAGATCGGTCCATCACTTTGCAAAGGGAAACATACCCGTAATTATGTCAGTTAGCTCAGCACAGGGTGGCAGATGATCTAAATCTCCATGTGCTGAGCCTTCTCAAGCTGTGCATCAATGCCACAGGTGCCCTTCATTCCATTTGTCCCCTGCTTGACAGCTGTCAACCCTTCAATGGAGCAGGAGCAGCTGACATCACACATCTAGGGGAAATCGTCAGGTTTCTGTGTTTTGAATTTTAAACTTACTGATGTCTAAAATAAAAGTGAGAGAACCTAATCTCTTGAGATCAGAATTTGCACCTGCTGGCATGAAGAGAGAGAATTCACTTCTGTTGGACACCTGTTATTGGGGGCTACTGTACAGACTCTGAGTCATGATCTTTAGGAGGTAACATTTTGTTAGCAGACTGGAGAGAAGAACAGACATCAGGTGCCTAGTGCCACACCTGGCACAGACCTCAAGTTCAAAACTGGAAGTCCCTGCCAGTGATGCTGTTATGAGCAATGTGAATCCTCACAGAAGATCTGTGTTCAATGCCTGTATCTCCAGACTTAGCACAGTTCCTAGACCATAATAGATGCCAAAAAAAATACCTGTAGAATAAATAGATAAGAAACATGCATAGAATATATGAATGGATGAGAAATACATATATAATGTGTAGTACATGTTTGTCACTCTGTTTTTGATTACCCAGCACCTGAAACACTTCCTCCAGCAGGATCATTCTCTCCAGCTTTGGACACAGAGCCCACCTCCGGCTAGAGAAGATGAAGAAACAAAATCCCCCCTTTCACAGGCTGCCACAACTGCCAGGTTCTGCCAGTCATGTGAGCCTACTCCAGAGAGGAGCGGGGGTTATGAGAACCAGAAAATGAGACAAGTGAAATTCATTTAAAGTGGAAGATTGGCCAGGTATGGTGGTGCACATCTGTAATCCCAGCACTTTGAGAGGCTGAGGCGGGAGGATCACAAGTTCAAGTCCAGCCTGGACAACTTAGCAACTAAATGAGAAACTATCTCAAAATAAAAAATAAAAATAAAAGAGCCCAGTAGTAGCCCAGTGCAAAGGCCCTGTGTTCAATCCCCAGGACTGGAAAAAAAGGATGATAGTGTTCACGGCAGCTTCTTCCAATGTTTCTGGCATGAAGGGCCACTGGGCTAACAGGACAATCAATGTCCAGGGCTGTGCACTAAGTGGTCCTGCTTTTGGGTGGGCAGGCAGGACCATCCCATCTCTGCTTGGAGATTGGAGAGCTGATGCTGCCTGCATAGCTCTGGCCCTCTGGAGTGATGCTCAGGCATAGCTTCTGTCTACCTACAACCCAAGCCCTGACCATTCCTCCCGTGACTTACAGATAAAAGGATGCTGCCACAGTGTAGTGACTTCCCCTAGGTCACAGCTACTAAGCAGCAAAGACAGTTTTTGAGCTCAGATCTAGAATTCTAAAGCCCACGTCTCTCATCTGCCTGGGCTTCTAAAAGGAAATGGTTCAATTAAACCTCTTGGCTGCAGAGGATGCAAACCAAATGTCTGGTTGTAGGAACTGGCAGTCCATTCCCTGGTTGGTTCACACACATGCCACTTAGTAGTGATGGGGACACATGGACATATGTGGACCTGCTTGCAAGCCTCTTTGTGGGTGCTCTGTACAGAAACCAGCCTGGCCAGCTGGATCCCAGAGTCCTGGTTAAAAAGAGGAATCCATTTGTCCAGCATTAATCAAAGGAAGCACTCACATTCAGACAGAATGGTCTCAATTTTTAATTGGGTCCAAGTCAGATAATTACTCAGCTACCCATAAAATTCATTTTAACTTATTAAATGGAGCTTCCTAAATAGCATTGCTATGGAGGGTAGCCAACTGTGTGCATAATTTGTCTCAAGGAGAAATGCATTGTTCTGAAACCTGGATCCTTTCTTGCCTAGCAGCTGAAAAACTTGCACTAGTGACTCAACCTCTCTGAACCAAAGTTTCTTTGTCTTTAAATAAGTTTGATATTTACATGTGCTTCATAGCAGTGTCAAAGGTATGCAAGGGATATTTATGAAAACTATGTAGCACATATTCTGGCAGGGAGAATGTGCCAGGTAGCTGGTATAAGGAGGATTCCTAGGGTTCAAGAAGTCACATCATTGAGTAAAAGCACATGGAGCTATTGAGCTATTGACTTACATTCCCACCTTTGCCCTAAAGGGTCACACCAATCTTCGTACCCATTTATGAAAGCTTCTATTTTATAAAAGGTTTTAACCAGATCCTTGCCAACTTGCAAATGATGCTGAACAAAGGAGCCAAAAAAACAGGAATGGTGTGGCAAATGAACTTGAGTGGCTTGTGGACTAATAAAGGATTCCTATTTAGATTACCTTTGATGAAAGTGCCGGGTGTATGGCAATTGTTGAAAGACTCTGCCTTCTAAAAAAAGACAAACACTACACATTGCCACTCGTACATGGAAGATGAAGGATTGATTTCCTAGAAGCAGTGAGTAGAATAGTGGCTGGGCTAAGATGGGAGCGGGGAGTGGGCATAGAGAGAGGTTGGATATGGGTACCAAATTCGGTTAGATAGGAGGAAAAAGGCCTAGTGCTTTATAGCACATTTGGATGACTTTAGTTTTTGACAATTTGTTACATATTTTATAAAGGACTAGAAAAGAAGGCTTCAAACTTCTCACTAATCTTTAAAATGATAGAAGTGCTAATTACCCTGGTTTGGGCATTACACACTTTACACATGTACTATATTACCTTTCACATGTTAGCCC